CCCAAGTGCCCCTGATGTGCGGATTTAGATATCCGCACAGAGGGGGGCGCCTTGGCTATTAGTATATAGAGGATGATGATGTGTGTTGCTCACTCTGTGTGTACTTGATTTGCTGTGGTGGCAGCAGAAGAACAGCTGCTGGAAATGAAATGGTCCTGAGATGGACAGAGGCAGGGGCAAGAAGTTCCGACTGTGACTTCTTGAAAGCTGTGCTGGGATCTAGAGGGTCTGTGCAGAAGCCCTTCCCTGCTCTAGGAGCTCACAACTTGCGTCTCAGCTACCAAGACACCTGGCTCAGTTTGTCAAGCAGGATTCCCCTGCAGCCCCCCTGCAGGGAGTGGACTGCATCCCTGTGAACGTCCTCTCCTTTAGGGCCTGCTGAGCGCCAGCTTGGAGTGCAGCAGACCTGCAGAGGAGGTGACTGCCATTCTCGCGTCGTGTCAAGCAAGATGTCCTGTACTCCTTTGTTCCGCTGTGGTAAGAGCCCTCTCCTCTCGGTCGTCTGCCCTGCTGCTTGGAAGGTTTCTCAGAAGTCTTGCACCGCCATACGGCGCGATCTGTGATAACATCACTCCAGACCTCAAATGTCGATGGCAGCATTACTTGATATTTAAGGTGCTTTTGTAATTAGTCAGCTCCTGGACCGATGCTGGGCTTAAAGCACTTGAATTCTGAGTGCAGGAGAAATTAACCATCCTTAAAAAAAAATAAACAAACACCTCAACCTTTACATGCAGGCGATACAAATGACTTGGACCTTGTTTTTTTGTTTTTTTAATTGGCTTGTCCTGTTTTGCCTTCTCTGGTTTCTCCTCCAGCCCACCTTGGCTAGTTGTGTACCATTGCATAGCCCGAGTAAGTTTTGCTTGCTCAAACCGGCGTTCCCTGATGGGCGTGTCTGCTTCTAAGCCCCATGCGTGGTCTGGGGGACTCCTCTTGCTGCAGGAGCTGATGGGCCCCTCGGGCGGGGGGCTGTTGGCTTCCTCCGTCTGTAGGAGCAGGGGGCTCAGTCTGGGAGTAGGGACAAGGCGTAGGGTCTTCTGTCACTTCCTCTTTTGGCCTGTCCTGCAGGCAGCTCCTCCTGGGTGCCAGTCAGGCGTCATCCGTCTGTTTTTTCCCTTCACTGGGTGAGAACCTCTGGTGGGGCCACCTTCACTGGTGTGCTGGAAGCATCCCTTCAGTCGCAGGTGATGAAAACGAGCCTCCAGCTGCCACAGAACTCTACCGTCCATGTGGGTTTGGCGCCCCAGTCCTGCAAGAGAGTAGATTCCGTGCCTGGCTTGGTGTGTGACTGGGCTCAGTCTGATCTCTCTCTGTGGCTAACGGCACTCTTTGTCTGGCTCCCCGCAGCGATGGTGGCGCAAGCTGGAGCCGGTGCTTTGCTGTGAGTGGAAGAGGCTCTTCACGGCGCCCCTCGCGCAGGGACTGCAGAGGCTCGGGGGGTTGCAGCGCTCTGTCAACAGGTCAGTCTCTGAAAACGCACATCTGTGGCTCCAGCCTATGTGGAGCATTGGTTTGGTGTTCCGGTCTCCCCCCCCCCAGCTATGACGATCTGGTCACCTTGTCTTCCCGCTGTTCTTTGCTGCTTTTAGTTCTCACCTTGTGCAAGGTGACTCCGCTTGCTGTGCACCTAGAGACAGGTGTACATACACCCACCGCCTTTACTGTCACTTTGTAACATTCAAGCCCCCCTCCCCCCCCGAACCAGCTGACCTTTTAAGATGGTCTCCACAACAGCTTCACTTAGCTCCATGGGTCCTTTAGTAGGTGCCATCCGGAAACTGGGCAAAATCAGTATCACCCATACTTGTGGGTTCCCTGTTGTAGCCCCCACCTGATGGAATGTCCTCCCCAAGGAGGTCAGGAAGGCTCTCATCCTCCTGGCTTTCTGCAAACTGAAGAAAACGGGGGCTGCACCCAAGACAGAACGGCGATGAAGAAACAAATTGGTGCAGGGGGAAACAGAATCCTTAATGGTTATACAACCCCTGCGTTTTTCGTTTGTAGCTTTGTCAGGGGGAATCAAATGAAATAAAAACAGAACATGTTGGATACATAATTTTAAAAACTGATAAAATGCAGGGCATTTTCACAGAGCATGTACAGAGTGCAATTTGCAATGAGTTGTTCAGGGTACCAAAGCCACGTTAACATGTACTACGTAAGCATCTGTGGGCTTGTGCCTGTATTCTAAGGAATGTTTCTGGACTGTCCTGTCTGGCACTCCCTTTCCGCTTCCCCCTCTTTCCTGCTTCTCTCCCGTGAGACAGCGACCCAATTTTGGAACTTCAGTTTCAGATCGAAGTTTCATTGCTACCTAAGAACGTTTTAATTGTTTTTATTTTTGTTCGAATTATTTCTATCCACGTGTGGATGCTTTTACCGTTGTTCACTGCCCTGAGCTCTGTGTACTCAGAGAAGGGCGGTCTATAAATCTAAATGATAAGTAAGTAAATAAATAATGGAACATTTCTTGGAACCCAAGCACAAACCCGCAGACCTTGCTTCACATCCTAGCTTCCTCTCGTCAGAAGCGTCTTCGCTGGTCTCCGATCTACCCTGGATTTCTGCTGCCTTCCTCCATTTCGCCCTGCAGCAGCAACCAGCGTGTGAAAAAGCGGGTGCGCTGAGGCGGCTGGGGCCCGGAGCAGACCAAGTAAGGGGCACAGCTCGGCAGTCCCCTTGTTTGTGCCGGGGGTGGGTGGGGGTGGGTGGTGCTAGCAGCACGGAGATGAAATGCCAGTCAGGCAGAGAGGAGGACCGGGAGCGGACAGGCTGACTTGTGCCGCCGAGGCAGAGGTCTGCTGGTGGGCACAATGATGCGCTTTCAGGCCAATGGTTTTACCGTCATTATTTATGAATGTTCAGCATTTCTCTTCTCACTGGCAGATCCTGGTGTGCCTCCTCTTCTTTTCAGTCATGGATTTCATCTCGGCAAGGCTGGCCCCGCAGGTCAGTCTGAGCCTTAGAAGGAGGGGGTGGTGTGGCCGCGGCGGGGAGGTGGGCGACGGCCCCAGCCAGAGCAGGCTGCTCGATTCATGTGCACAGTAGGTCACGTGAGGGACTTGGTCTTGCCCATCCTGAAGAGAGATCTTCCAGGGCAGGAACCTCCCATGTAGTCGGAGGGGGGATGAACGGAGGCTGAGAGGGCAGAGGCTTTCCTGAAGTGGCCGGGGGGGGGGGGGGGGGGTGGTGGCTGTTGTGGGGT